CCAGCAGCAATCTGCTAACATACTGCACATCACCCTAGGTAACCTGCGAACAGGAATCTGGAGTTATCTAAAAATATGTTTGCAAATTGTTGCTGAATGGTAAAAAAAAACTCAACAAAGATGAAAAAACGTTGCAGAAACTCGTTGCACTGTCATCACAGGTGAAAACGACAGAATTTAAAAGATTTTAATTATCATTCAAAAAAATGACTAAATTGGAAATTTTGTCGAGCTTTTGTTTTGCTTTTCTCCGTTTTTTGCCGTTTGACTCTCAATTTCGACTTTAGATTTGTGTTCAGCAATAAAAAAAGCATAGGAAAACATATGACGCATACCCAGCACATACCACTTTTTATTTTGTGAACCTGCGTAATTAATTAAAAATAAAAATAATCGTAGTACCAATTAAATGGTATATATGTATGTCAACCATATTTTTAGGTTCCCTCTCGATTGCCTTTTTACATTGTGTTTTTTTTCCTTTATTTATATTATAATCAATTTAAAATATACAAATAAAGCTCATAAAAATTATGAGAAAAAATATTTTTGTATAGTAGAAAAATACGAGTATTTGACAGTCAATCAGATTAAAAATATCATATTTAGAGGACAATTTTTCAACAGAATAAAAAATTATGGCAGCACTATATTACGGGCCTATATTCGTATGAATTAAAAAGCCATGTATTTGCTATAGAGTCAGGCGTTTTACGCATATATCCACACTTCGCGTATGTGTTATCAAAAATACATAAGAAATATGCATTTATGATAAAATTGTTATTTGACGTTCGTGCGTTTTGTAGGTTAGGTTTTGCGTGCGAAACGTCTTGATTACCAATTCATATGATTAGTTATGTATTTATGTTATTTGTTAAGAATCATTCAACGGTTACACGCATGTGTTGTATCTATATTGAATAAAGTCATTTATTATATTCAATCTGAGCATTTCTAAATAAAGAGACTGGCTCTTTACCGAAAAAAATACGAAAAATATTTTTGGTCAGTTATAACATAAAATATAAGAAATAATATGTGTTTATAAAAGAAAACAATAAATGTCTATGAAAGAAATAATTAGAATTATGTTTATATATAGCCGCAAAGAAGTCAAGAAATTTGTTACTACCAATTCATATGATGAGAATTGCGTAACATAGCGTTGCCAGAACATTTCTATTCTAGCAAAAAATTGGTCCCTTACAAAATTTCGTAAAGTTTTGACAACTTTCTGATTGGAGGAGGTGGCACCAACCTTTTATTTTATGTATAAGCTTTAGAATTTTACAATAATTGAATAGTGTAATAACAATAACGGAAAATAGAATTTCCTAAAAAACTATCAAACAGAACCGTAAAATCAAAATCGATCGACTTTCTCAATATCCTGTGCCTGTTTAAATCATCGGAATGAATCTATTATCCCACTTCCACTTATTATTTGATTGCTGACTATTTAAACCAGTTCCTAGCTTTACATTTGAACAATTGAAATCAATGAATGGCGTGGAAAAGCTCTCTACTTTGTCATTTGGACTACATGCATATTCATAGCCCGCGGCCCAGTGACTTTATTTCCGCTTCGGCCAGGTAACGGCCAGGTAACGCATTCGTTGCAACCATTGTCGCAACTACGAAATCGTCATACAATGATCATCAACGCGTTTTGCCTCCATTCGGCAAATTTTCGATTCATTTATCACTTTTTTCCCGAATTTATGATACAATCTGCTATGAGTAAGCCGTCGGGGAAATTCATGTGCTCGTACATCTGTTATGCGCACGAAAGAAATGAGTTGCATTTGACGAAAGTTATGGTGCAGCAAAGCAAGATACAGTTCCAAAATTATTTATGATGAAGCTGTTATGTGCCGGGAAATTGTGGTAGAGAATGTTGAATGGATGCGGAGTTTCATTTAACTCTTTCACGACGAACCGTCCAACTTATTTCAGTTAAACTTTTTATCAATGTTATTTTTGAAATTTATTCACATATAAATATATACACTACACGAGCGTTTACGCAAAATTGTTAAATAATAACATTTATAATACGATATATATATATATATATATATATATATATATGTATATATATATATATATATATATATATATATATATATTGGGGTGGTCCTTAATATGGTTATTTTCGAATTCCCTTGCTCCCAAGGGCTCAAATGTTTCCAAATTGATAAATTCTCTGAAAGTTAGCTCCTAAAATTAAATTTTAGAAAGTGCGCAAACTAGTTCAAACTTCATATGGAATTAGCATGAAAAAATTAAAAAAAAATGTTTAGGTATAATTTAACGACAAATGAATTAAGTGAAAATTTGTGTCATTTTCTATTGAAAATTCCACGCTCTGCAAAATAGATTTTTTATAATTTGTTTTGTAGAGAGTTGAATTTTGAATAAAACTCATTCATTTGTTTGCTAAATTATATCTAAAAAACATTTTTAAAATTTTTGGAAATTTTCAAATGCTGTTTCCATACAAAACTTTGATTGAATTGCGCACTATCTAAGAGACAATATTAAACGCTAAAACTTTCAGAGAATTGTTTTTTATCAATTTGAAACCATTTGAAATGTCTATATATATTATTCAGGCTGTCCCAGAACTCAACGTCAAGCCGAAACGGGGTGATAGTTTTGATCGGAACTATTATGAAAAAAATTTGAAAAAACTATTAAGTATATTGCCATTTTTCAATACTGATTAAAGGCGTTAACTTTTTATGAAACTTGCCGACGCACTTCAACACATTTTTTTATAGATTTTTTTTCAGAGTCAATGAATTTTAATTACTTTAAATTAGTAAATCAAACAGCTTTAATTCTATAAAACTTGACGCAATTGTGTGTTTATTTTTTACTGTGGTCCTAGAAAAGTTGATTACGATTGCGAATCGAAAGTTTAAAGAAACAAAACTGAGAAAAATTAACCACAATAACGAAAATTATTGATGTTGCAAATGCAAATTGTTAATTGGTATCATTCTTACTACCAAACATTATTGAATATATGGTAAATTAGGGAGCATCTATAAATGAGGTCTCAACAGACCTCAATAATCTGGAAGTAAAACTGAAAATTTAGGCGAGGTAATGAATTATCTAAATATATCGTGTATCATTGAATAATTATAGATTTTTAATTGAAAATTGTATCACAAGATACAAAACAAAGTCGTTTTATAAAACTTTATTTCGGGAATTCATTACAGTACCTCATTGATACAGAGATGTTGCAATCAGCACTTTTTGTGCTTTGGTACACAGGCATTGAAATCAGCACATTTTATTATGAAAATTAGTATAAATCAATTCATTTTCAAATTTATTAGTTTAATTATGTTAATTTATGTAAAATTGTATCATGAGCATTGCCTTATGAATGAGGGTTACGGAATATCTGTAGATATATAGACATACCAACAGAGTCGAACATATCGAACATCCAATTATTACATTTTCTCATTTATCGGATGGAATATAATTCTATCATTTTTTTTTAAATTTTTTTTTTACATTTTTTTAATTAAGCTGTAGCATGTTTAATGAGCGACGCATAAAGGAATATATCAAATCTCATAGTATATCATGGGTTGAAATTTTGGAGTCTAAAACAGGAAAACATGTTTTTAACGAGTTCTTTAAAATGAAATGTATTAACCATTCATAATGCAATAACCAGTTAAATGTGATCGATGAATATACTCTGGAGAAGTTGCAGAATTTTGTGTATTTTTGAGTATACTCGTCATGTGTACGAATCTTTGACCATTTGCTATTTAGTTTATAATTTTTGACAAAGACAAAGTATACTCTAAAATATCAAGGTGTTTAGAATATTTTGAGGCTATAACTATATAAAATATGTGGTTGTATATAAGAGGCATTTTACTTTAAGGAAAGTTGCATAGACTAATTATGATGTTATTTTTATTTAAATCTTATATTTTTCAATCTAAATGTATTTTTCGCTTTTGAACCTTGTATAAAAAATTTCTGTTCATTTTTTCCATCATTAATTTTAAAAAATTAACACTTTTTCTTTCATTCATTTTTTGTTATTTTTCAATTGAAAATAAAAATTTGAATTAATTAATGAGACAACCTGTTTTAACTCTTATTTGGAATTTTGTATTCGGCAATTTTCTCAGTGTCGCTTCATCTACCTAACCATACTCGTTGTCTTGCAATATAATATATAATAAAAATTTTTGAAATTTGATAGATAGTTATAATTTTATTGTCAAGTAATTGCGAAAATTAAATTTAAATTTATGTCTTTCAAAAACTTGAGACAATTTTGGATAAAAAATCTGAATCCGGGACGAATGTTGGTTTTAGAAAAACCCTGGACGCAAGGTGGAAATCCGCGACTGTTTTGTGCAAACCGGCACGTATAGTCACCTCAATGTAATAAGATTTCTCAATTTTGAAATGCAAACCCATATTTTTTATCCAATATACTCGACAAATATAATCATGGGCTCGATTCAGATGATACAAAACTGTGCGATGTGAGCGACATAGTTAACTGGTTAAATAGTTGCTGATCGTTTATAAGAAGTTGCCAGAATCTTAGAGAATCGTTAACTGAGCGCATAATGATACAGCTCAACAGTTTAAAAATGATATCCATATCTGAATGGTGAAAATGTGAATTGATTATATTCCCTAAAGTAAACAAAACTGGCCGGTCTATTTGTTTGGGCAGTGTTTGTCGATTGCATGCACATATTGTATGTGAATAGTACAAAGTGCTTGCGAACTGGGAATGTAGCTCAGCATGCCGTGCACGCTTTTCGAGTGTATTCTGTATTCTGTAGTCTGTACTATTACTATGTATTCTTCTAGTACGGCAACGGTGAATTCGATCGTTTGTACTGTGGAGAGCACGATGCATGCCCGATCGTGCAACCCATTTTCCTACTCGACTAATATGTATCTTTTTATCTTTATTTGCGAATCAAACATCTCAGCTGGATCTGGTGCTGAACTCCGAAGAAGGCGGCGATCTATCGGACTTCATTACGAATGGAGAGTGGTATTTAATAGGTAAGTCGTTAATATTACACACTATATTTGAATATGTTAGAAATTATATTTTATTGATGACAAAATAGTGGTATTGATTGCTGCTGAACGGAGTGATAGTGAACTGCCTTAAAGCAAATTTCTGGAATCTCAAATCGTTATCGCAAGATGTATCAATTTATTATTTTTATTAACGCTTTGCAAAGTTTTGAAAAAGCACTAAATCCAAAATGTTGAATTTGATAGGTTTGAATGATTTGAAAATCTACAAGATAGGTTTGAAAAGTATTTTCACTTCGTGATAATCTTTATATTACAAAAACCTAGACTATAATATATTCTCTTAATATTTTTATTAGCAAATGTCACAAGAATATATATGATTTCTAAACTCACATAATAAGTTATTTAAATTTTGAATGCTAATTTCATACCCGTTTTTTTGTCGTAATGGAAGGCTTGCCTATTTGGCTCCATGAACTATTCATACCTTATAGTTCTATTCATATGTAAAATAGTCTGTCATCTTAATAACCCTGTAATGAAAAATAAGATCAAATTATATCTAGAATGAAATTCATTTCAACGATAGGCACTATATAATTTACAATAAATTAAAGTTTCTATTTATTATTATTAATGTAATTCATAATGCTTATTTTTTATTTTGTGTATATCTACTGATGATAACAAAATTTTATTTCAATACCTATTAGAATAAAGATTTTGTAGTTTTTTTTTAAGTAAATCTTCTTTAGGCGCGACTAGGGTGTAAATCTGTAAAAATGCAACGAAAGAACGAGTCGAGTGTCAATGATTCGTCATTCGCTCTTGATGATATCATTTCTATACGGGTCGATTGTGATTGGTCGTCGTGTCGCGTGAGTATGATTGTTTTGATTCTATTCGTGTACGTAGTGAAAATAATAAAACAAATAAAAAATCTGTGCCGTGTAAGAAACGTAAGTTCATTGAAATAATTTGTATTATTCATATATATTTTTATAAGCAAGGCACATACATAGCTGCTCAAAGAATGATACAGTATCGCCAAAATAGTCAAAAAAAAACAAACAGTCAATTAACGTATGTTAATTTTATTTACATGACTGAAACAACTGTTCTCGTTCAAATGTCAAAGCTTACAATTTCATTTTACTGATCCTGAACGTAAATGATTACAAAGTTGCATATTTTTATAAATAATTATGAATAATGAAGAATGGATTAATATTTAGACTTATCACTCTAAACAAGAAATCAAGCACAACAATAGTTTGTTGTAGCTGTGTATTATTTATATACAGATATTTTTCATAATAAACATCTATGCAATTTATTTATTGCTAATGTTAATAAAATTATTTAAGATTGTTATATTATAGCTGTCCACTGTGTGAACGATTATTATAGAATTTATCAATCAGCAAATTCTTCATTTCTCTAATGCAATTTCTCTAAGGTTCAAGACCTAAATGCTCATTACAAAGACAAACCGATCATGTCGTATTTGAAGTATGACTTTAATTACATAATTGTTTTCAAATATATTTTTGGTGCTTTTATAAATATATAATTTATAATTTATTTTTATATAAATATGTATGATGTTTGACATTAAAAAATGTGTGCATCGGGAGTGTTACAATTTTACTAAGAAACATTCAAAAAATGATTATGATGTATTTTTAACTTAAATGCCATCTTGTACAAGAGCAAAACAGTTTTTCTTCAATCACGTGTGAACCTTACGCGCACTCTATTTTGTCTATTTCATGTAACGCGTTCCAAAAGTCTTATAGAGTATATACATTAGAGCTAAATTTAAAGTTACAATAATAAACATTGTATTATTGGTTTCAATTTTTTTCAGTATCCATATGTTTCATTCAGCATCCTATCCTTCATTCAGTTTTTGAAATATTTATGCTACGACATCTTAATAATTGTTATTCATGATAATTGTTGTTTATTGTTTGCGATGTTAACAAATATTTATATTACGGTCGTGTACATTCCACTACAAGCTAAAATGTATTGATATCAAATAAATTTTTTAACCATTCATATAATTTTCATTGCTGTAACGCTCGATCTTTAAACTGAGTGTTCATAAATATTATGAATGTACGGTGTGTACAGCTGCTATGTAAATTTAAACATATATATATATATATATATATATATATATATATATATATATATATATATATCAAGCAAATTTCTGCATTAATTTAAAACCAGGCCAAGACTTTACCATTAGCTGGTTAGAACAATGTCGTTTCTTCAATAATATTTTTATTAAGTTTAACTTTTATTTTTTTTTTCATAGCGCACGCTTCACAAGATTTACATTATAATAAAATGTAAAATGTTGAATAAATTATTTAAATATTTGTTCGTGATTAGTTATTTACTTTAGGACTGAATTACAAACAATGCAAAAGAGTTTTTCGTCTGCATAACAAATTGAGGCGTTATTCTGAACTCGCCTTTCTGTAGAATATTTCATTAACTTCTAATTTCGACGTATTGTTCGAAAAAGCCTTTTAACTTTTTATGCAAAAACCATTCTTCACAAGAATTGCAAATTCATATTGGATGAAAAGTTCCAAGGTAATTTACGTTCGCGCAAAATTTATATGAGCACTAGTTTGCATAAATACAATAAAAACATGCAGCCAGAAATGAGGGGATAGAGCGCGGTTCTCGATACCGAACGCCGGGGAAAGCGCGAGGCGACCGAACGCGAGGGAAAGAAATTTTACGGCTTTGCAACAAATCTACCGAGCCGACATGTTATGAACTTGGATATTTAAACATAAGCATTTCAGACGACATCATATTTCAAAAATATTCACGAATACTCGGGGGCCAATTTTGCCGTAAAGTAGACTTCTCTTACAAAATGGTACTAAATACTGCCAAATCCATGTTTGATGTAAGATCAGTCGTTTTACACATAAAATGCAACTTCACTCATATGTTATGAAGCCATATAACTAAGATGCAGTTATGATAAGATTGTGCATTTGACGTTTGTACGTTATCTAGATTAGGTTTTCTATCAAAAATGCCTGACTGCACAGCAACCACAACGCCTTTTGACAGTATTTAGTAGCATTTTGTATGAGAAGCAGTACGTAACATAGCCTTGCCATAACATTTACTGGTATATTTTACATTCATAATAAAATATTCAAAAATGAAATTTAGATAACAAAATGTATTTTTTGGAAATTAAAAAAAAAAAATTGAAACAAAAAAAAATCTCCAAAAGCAATCGTCAATACAAGCAGAAAGTTTTTTGAATAATTAAAATCAAATGCTCAGTTCTCTCAAAAACTGCCATTTTTTGCATATTTAGCTGCGTAGCTCCAAAACGGCTTGACCTACCTTTGCCAAAATCGAATCACCAGTTCTCCCTATCATTACGAATTGATTGTTTTTTGGATCGAATGCTCCGTTCTCCCAGAAACTGGATTTTTATTTTCTGCACTCTTCGCTCCGTTTCTCCGAAACGGCTGGACCTTTGCCAAAAACTAATCAGCACATTTCCCTGTCAATAAGAATCGAATGTTTTTTGAACCATTCAAATAGGTTGATCCGTGCGCGCGAAAACGTGGACGAAAAACTGCATCCATGCGTTTTTTCTATATCTTAGTACTTATTGTTAGTACTTTTCTGTATCTTAGATATATATATATATATATATATATATATATATACATATATATATATATATACATGTATATATATATATATATATATATATATATATCTGTGTGTGTATGCAAATTATGACTATTACAATTTCTATAAACGAGCAGATATATTTTTGGTCATATTATATCCAAAATTTATCTTTGCAATTCAATTTGATGAATTTAATTTATTATAATTTTTGCAATGAATAATAAAATTATTATAATTAAAATGTATAATTTAAATTGAAAAGGTAATTATTGTAATGAGATTTCGGACTGTAACATCCCCTTATTTCTATTACACTCATCCAGAGGGTGAGGTAAATAAGGCAAAAGGTAGATAATGACCGACCTTTTAGGTCTACTTGAAAAAAAGGTCACAATTTATGCTGCATATTCAGTTCGCAAGAAGCTTCAGTAAAAGCTTTGGCAGACGAAAAGTAAAGTTTAAATTATAATTCAATATGCGATTTTTTTAAGAAAGGATAGTCAAGTCTAACTCATTAAATTTAGTATCTACTAATATATAATGCTATAAACAGATGTTAGTTTTTCACATTATTGTTTATTGAATTTTTATAATATCTATTATAACTTCCCCAAAAATATCTTAAGATTTGCAAATATTTATATATTTAAGATAAGATAGGTTTAGTTATAAAAATTGCTAAACTTTGAAAACAATTATTTTATTTCTTTACATTTTCAACTTTTGATCACTTTACCATATCTTAAAAACGTGATCGTATATGTGTGCCTGCACGTAGTATATATTTATATTTATATGTAAAATCAAAAGTTTGCAAAAATAAAAGAATCGGTAGGTACCTACTAAAAGAAATTTGGCATATCCACGTCAAATTCTTTGACTTTCTCACAAAATTTTAACATGCAGCATTTTTATTGTTACTATAGATTTTTTTAGCATTTTTCACATTTATTCTATAATATCTATTGTAACTTCTCCAAAAATATCTTAAGATCTGCGCACAAAATCTTATTTGCAAATATTTATATTTTTCTTCATCTATAGGGTTAGTTATAGAAATAGCAAAATTTTTAAAACAATTTTCTTATTTCTTCACATTTTGAACTTGTGATCACTTTACCATTCCTCAAAAAACGTGATTGTATATGTCGTATGTGTAAATCAAAAGTTCGCAAAAATAAAAAAAAACTGTACGTACTAACTGAAATTTGGCATATGCACATGAAATTCTTTGACTTTCTCTAAAAATTCGAATAATATGCAGTATTTTTATAGTAACTACATTTCAATAAAAAAAATCAATAATTTTAAGTTTTTGGTTTGCT